AAGCTTTTCGAGAGCGCCCAGTCCAAGAAGACGGCGAACGTCAACAGGGCGATCCAGCAGGCGACGTCGCTGCCGAAGTTGCGCAAGGAGCTCGGTGACCCCAGGAGTACGTGGCTACGCTCAACAGCCCGGTCGGCCTCGACAGGGACTTGGTGGACCTGGTCGCCGAGATCCAGGGCGCGCACGATGTCCACGCGATCAAGATGGCCCGCAAGACGAAGACCTGATCAAGGTCTCGGCTGGCTCAGTTGAGTTGGCGTGCTGCTTCGCTCTTTTTACGCGCGATCAGCCGTGCATGTCTGTGAAACCGACGATTGGGGATCGAAAACAGAGAAATCAGAGAAAAAAACAAAAACAAAACAAAAAATGCAAAAACGTCGGCTGACTTAGAATCTACACCGCAACGAGGTTCACCGCACCGGTGATGCACCGGTGACTCACCGATGTCCTCGATTTCGGTGAGCCTCGTTTTAGCGATGAAAACACATGGTTCGAGAGCGGTGATCTCGAACGGTGATCCACCGGTGACCAGTGACGCACCGGTGATCCACCGGTGACCTGCCTGTTCGAGCTCATTGGCTGTGGTTTTTGGCCCTGGGACTTAGAAACTGCACGAGTAGGTGTTCGCGCGCCCAGCGGCGGGCATTTGAATGCTGAAACATCGAGAGTGTCGGGTGCAAACTGGGGTAATGAACGAGTTGTCGTGTTCCGTGGGCTTCACATCCAGCGAGGCCCACTGCAGCTCGAGCCAGGCCGGCGCTAGCTCGTGACTTTCAAGGGTGTGATAGCACCAGCTGACGGCGCCAGCCGTTCCCTCACTTTTTGTTGAACGGTGCTGCGCAAGCGAGATTTCTTCACCTTGGCGCTGGCCGCGACTGCTTCGATCGCGGGCTCAGCGCCCACGGGGTGAGCATGGCACTTCTTCTGTGTCGCGGTGGCTTACTCAGCGGTTGGTTGGCCGCAGCAGATTTGATGCGCCCACAATGTGTGCACCTCGCCAGCGCTCGTGCTTCGAGTCTCCTCGATCTCCCCCCCAGCTCCTCCTCCCTTTGCCATCAGTATCCTTCCCATTATCCACATTCCCCCCCCCCCCCCCGCTTATCCTCGCACTTCCCTTCACCGCTATGCTCCTCTCAGGGGGCCCAAAGATCCCCCCATCTCCTGTTCCGCGATGCCTAAGCAAAATAGCACGTAAGGGGGCCCCGACGGCGTGCGTCGCTCGTTCCGCTCGCACACATGCAACGACATGCACGATTAAGACACGCGTAATATCACGACATTACACTCTCACAAACGCTTCTTTCACAACGCTGCAATTAATGTTTAGATGCGCACCGCAACACATACACACACGTTCGTATGTATGTCGTCGGCCATTTAACGCTAGCCATTCGTTCGCTCGAGCTCGCGTGCCAAATGGCCACCAAAAGAAAGAAGCGTCGAGCGAGCAGTGCCAGCCACGGTGCGCCGACAAGGTCGGGGCCCCGATTATACCAAGCGACTTCGCAGGAAGCTAGAGATGGAGGCTCTGAGTTATTGAGGTTAGTGTTGCAACTTTATGCTTATTGCAAAATATCAGCCACCGAATTTTGTAACATTTGTTATTTCGCAGACGTGTCTGGTGTACCAGGCACGGACTTCGCGCAATATGCAATGGCCCCTGGGAAACAATATGGTAAGTGCCAAAACTTGCTGTCTAGGGTTCTCCCGCAACCAAGCGGCATGATCTGCGTCGACACCCCAGTCAAGTTGAATCGGAGTTCTTAGAGAAGTTTCAGGGCCACCCCTATCAGATGCACGTTCCAATCGCTGGAGGAAGACATATCATCGGACCCCGCCACGGCGAACTCATTCAATTCGGACCCAAACGAAAGGGAATAATGCATTTTAGATTTGCCGTGTTACACTGGACACCCCGTCGCGCAGTATGCACTGGGCAAAGGCGAACGACCCCCGCTTCCCATTGCCGTGTACCTCGACGGCGTCACATACATGTCGGGCGCGTCGGGCCGACAAGATAGCGCACTAGGCATTTGGAATATTAATCTGATTACTGCTTCGAGGCATCTGCTCTCGGTGACGCGTAGCTCCGACGCCTGCCAGTTCGGGCGTCGGGAGTGGCGCACGCTCTACCCGCATTTGGAAGCCACCCGGTGGCAAGTCGAGGCCATGACAAAGGGCAGGAGGCCTGCCGAGCAGTTCAATGGTTCGCCATGGGGCGACGACGCTCAGGTAGGTGACTTGTCTTTCCGAGCTGCCTTGATATGGATCAAGGGCGACTGGGCTGAGCATTATAAGTCTCTTGGTTTGGCGAGCTGTTCGTCGCTGTTCAACCCGAGCCAAGATTGCACAATGTCCTTTGGTGAGTTGCACGGGTCATGCGACCACGCATGTTCGGGCATGCCGTGGCAATGGAGAGAACGCAAGGATTGCGATGCAGCTTGCCAGCAATGCGAGGTAAAAGTCAGAGTGGAGGTGCCAGGACAGTTGAGGCAGTTGGCGCAACGCTTGAAATCAGCTAAAGCTAGCAAAGGCATCGCAGGCAGGATGAGTGCATCCGGTTTTACGTTAAATGGAACGCACCTCAAAACTGGAGACAGATTGGAGCCATCACGTGAGCTCATGGACACGTTCTCGCTAGAACAGGCGGTCTGCCCGATCACAGTGACTTTTCGGAGACCGTTTCTCACGTGCGATTGAAAAGTTGTGGACCCCGTGAACCATCGTTGCCTTCTATTTTCGGTCGTGCTGGGGGCCAGCCCGATGAGGAGCTTGGCAATAGACTCTCTCCATTGCCTATACTTTGGCCCGATCATGCGCTTCGTGATCGCAGCGCTGTGGCGGGTCCTCCTGTACAACGCGTTTAACCTTCCAGGCGCTTTGGAGCCCACCCTGGAGGTCGGGGCCCGCAGGCTCCAGGCAGAGATGCTCACTTGGCAATGCCGTCGGGATGTACCGCGCCATGTTTGATTGGGGAGGCTGACTCTTGAAATGCTGGGCCCCGGGCGAGGCAATTCACTGCAGGATTGCGCGGGGCTTAAACGCAACGCAATTTAACCACTGCATCCGCGCGTAAAATTAATTAACTACGTATCAATGTAACATTACCAACAAGTTAACACACATTTGAAACATTAGCACGCGCAAACCAGAAGCTCTTAACAGAGACCATGTACATACTTGATCAGTTTTAAAATATAAGCGTAGACAAACAATGCTTAGCGCCAGTGTGTTTTGACCCCAACAAAGAAGCCAGGAGCCTAACCACAGGGGGACGCACATGTCATTGAAGGCGGCCGAGATCGGCTATATGCTACCCTTCGCACTCGATATATTACAGCAGCTAGGCGGCCCCGAGAAGTTCGGATCGGCGATCTTCCACGCTGGCATGTCCCTGGAGACTTTTTTGACGGAGATGAGGGACCACGCATACATTGTTCCTGCAGGCATAATCGCCATGCGCAATGCGATATCAGCCCACATGAACGCGCGCAGCCTGGCTGGCATCGCGTATGCCCCCAAGCACCACCAGACGGTCCACCTGGTGGACAAGATGCAGCGTGTTCCAAAACCTTTTAAGGGGGCCTTCCATGGGGGAAGCGCTTGCTTAGCGCATGATGCACGCGTGCGAGCGCTCTCGTGCGCGCGCAATGGCACGCGCGCGCGCATGCGGAGGGGGGGGGGGGGGGGGGTCGGAGCCGGCGGGGCTGTCCCGGGGGGGGGTCGATCCGCGCGACGGACGCCGAGAACTTGTGGCGGCCCAGCCGCCTGGCGAGCGCGAGCGCGACGGCTCTCGACGAGGTGGCGGCGCAGGGCAGGCAACGAGCAACCCCCTTGTTCGTCTGCATCTCTGTCACTTTTGTCTCGCCCGGCCTCTCTCTCCCTCTTTCCTGCCGTGCCCCTCCTGCTACTCCTGGGCTCTCCGTGGCCGCTCGCCCTCCTCGCCCTCCTCCCACTCCTCATCCTCGTCCGTATCCTCGCCCTCATCCTCATCCTCATCCTCCTTGCATGCCATATGCCTGGCCAGGATCCCCGAACATGGGTCGCCCAAACTATATAATTGCTTCATCGACGAGACGTTGAACGCAGCCCTCAGATCAGTGCGTGTTTTTTTCTCGCCGATCTCGGTTCGAGATCATGGTGCACAGCTTGTTCCATTTGCAGCGCCGTCTGTCCATCTGTCCATATTTCCCGCCCGGCGAATGCCTCGCAGTCATATCTGGGCACATGTGATCTTGGCAGCGCTGGAACACCACAGCGGGCTTGCGCGCGGGGCGCAGCCCGCGCTGCCTGAGGGCGTGGCATGGGCAACAGATGGTGCGAAGGTGCTCGTAGCTAAAGGGGTATCCGAGCAACCGTTCGTCGACGAGGACGGGGGCAATTTCGCCGTCGCCATGGTTGTTGACCACTTGATGAATCATTTCACGAACGTGGATCGCACCCTCGCGTTTCTCGGGGTTTTCTCGGGCGCGGGCGGCGCGGCGCTCAACGTCAGGCGCCTCGGCTTCAGATTTGCGACGTTCGACGCCAACGATTGCGATTCCACTCAGGATATCTGCTCGCTGGTGCTTCTGGTTCAGAAACCACCACTCATCCCTGAGGGAAGGAAGGGCACGGAGATGGATAAGGGGTGGGAGGAGGGGGCGGGGGAGACGGGAGGGGCGAAGGGACTGGGCGCCGAAAGCGGCAAGAAATGACGAAAGGCGGAGGCGAAGGAGGAGTGAGGAAGAGGAAGAACCACGGAGGGAAGATGGGTCAGTTGGGGAGGGGGCGGGGGCTGGGTATAGATCTATCATGTTGCTCGTATGCAAATCGAATGTTTATGTATATTGCAACGCGCCTCATCGTATCATATGAAATGTCCCATTGGTATGTTACCCGTGTTGATTTAGTTCATTCGTTTGTTATGGCGCACAATATTCTAATATTTTCGGTATAGCATACGGTGTGCGAGATTGTAGCACCGCTATCTTATATGCCATACATCGGCACCTCCCCAGGTTGGGCTGCTGTACCTCATGCACCTCGTGGGCGCCACGGCGGCAAGTGGCAGCGTGCACTTCGCGCCCGAGTGCAAGACGTGGATCGGGATGGCGACAGGCCGCGCAAAACGCACGAGAGGAAACACCGAGGGCACGTCATCCAGGAAGGATGTTCTCAGGGCAAACTTTACAGTTCGGGCCGTGTCAGCTGGGTGGGGAAATCGTTTCTCTTGCCGCCAACAAGCTGGGCTCGGCTCGATGGCTGGATTGTCTTTCGAAGTTCCCTGAAGCACATTTGACTCGGCAGTTTTCGATTGCAGACCGAGCTGCGAGCCATCGCCGACGTCGCAGACATCGGTGACGTCGGCGATGGTTTGGCGAATGCCTCCCATTTTCTGTCACCGCCCCACCCCCAACACGTGGAACGTTTGAGTGCCGCCAACGGGCCGGCCCGGTCGTGCAGGGGGTTCTGGGCGGGGATGGGGGGCGGCCAACATGGCGATGAACGTTGCTGCCAGACGGTGCGAACCCCCATGGGGACGAATAGGACGAAACATGATGGTGGAAAACGCACGTTTCCGCTCGCGCGAATCCATCGGTTGCGCCCCACTCAGGAGGAAACGGAGGGAGGAGGGAGGGGGGAAGGGTGGATAGGGATGGTCGATGGGGAAGGAAGGAGGGGAGGAGGGAGGGATGTGGTGACGTATCCCACGACGACCTCCTCATCCTCCTCCTCCTCGCCCTCCTCCTCCTGGGGGTGCCATTTTGGCCGCGCCCGTTCCCGCCCATGCCGCCCTGTCCGATTTCTTTTTTGTGTCCCGTGGAGGTCGCGCCTGCTCGACCTCGCGAAGATCAGGGGCGTTTACACTTCGATCGAGCAGCCCTTGGCCAGTTTGCTTTTTTGGGGCGCCTCCATGTGGCTAGCCTTGCGCATGACGCGTGCCCAGTATTATTTTTCTGGGTGGGCGGGTATGGGGGCGCAGCCATGAAGCCCACGTCCACGCAGTGCACGACGCCGAAAGGCCCCATGGATCTCCTGCGCAGATCTAAACAGGCCGCCACCGATAGACTAGGCGACAGTAAGAAACCCCTCACTGTTCGCACTGCCCGCAAATCTCCTGGGTCTGGCACTGGCTGGTCAAGGCGGGGTTGGATTTCTGCTAATCGGTCGGTCCAGAGTTCGTCCCAAATCTACCCTGCCGGGTTTACCGCAATCTTTGCTAGGATCATCGCATCAGTGATGTCAGATGAGGCTCGCGCGGCGACTACCGTGCCAGCCGAGAGTTCAGCCTAGCTGCAAGTTCGCAGGAGTGTGGGGGGCGCGCCTGTCGGCGAGAAGCTCGCGGGCATCTCGGCGGGATAGAACAGGGGGGAACTGCTGAAGGAGGGGCGGGGGGGGGGGGGGAAAGGAGGGAGGGGGGGGAGGGGGGAGGAAGAGGGGAAAGGGGGGAGGAGGAGGAGGAGGAGAAGGAGGAGGGCGACGAGGGGGGAGGGATGGATTGGGGAGGGATGTGGCGACGCGCACGGCAAGGATGGACGAGGGCGGAGTACAAAGCACAAACGCAAACTTAGAGAGAGGTCAAATGCGCGCCCCCCCGATGAGCCGCCTGCGACGAGAGACGCCCTCCTTGAAGTTTTCGAGATAGCAGTGGCCGGCGTAATTTTGCGGCCTTGACGTTTGGCAAGGCTGGGCGCCACGCTGCCAGTTTAAGATGCCTGAAGCCTGCCCCTGCCTTCACATGAGAAACATTACAGCTTTCCCCACCTCGGCTTTTTTGGTTCCCCCCCTTTACCCTGAACGCTGACACCGCCGATGCCGTTGAGGTCGGTGGCCGCGAGGCGCCCGTGATTCCCGTGTAATTCGCCGAGCCAGCGAGCGAACCAGCACCGACATCACCGCTTTCGGTGATGTCGGTGACGCCTCGGTGCCTCCACGCTGCCTCTGATCCCATCGGCGCTGGCGATGTCACCGCGTGCCCTCGCCGCGCGTGCTCTGATTGATCGGTGGCCAGTGCGGCCGTGCTGGCCCGCCGCCTGCGCGCAGATTCACCGCTAGCGCGAGGCTGGCGACTTCCTGGGGCCTGGCCTAGGATGAGGGGGGGAGTCGAGGAGGGGGGCGAGGAGGACCACGACGACGACGATAATTATGCGATGGAGAAGGAGAAGGAGGAGGGGCGCAGAGGGCGAGGAGAGATGAGGGCACACGAGGAACGACAAAGCGGATGAGAGTGATTTCTTGGAAGGCCCCCATGGGCCGGTTTTGGTTGGGTAGTGCCCAACTGCGCGGGGCAGAACTCTTGCTGCTGCGCCTCGCCGAAAGCATTGGATACACGCGCCGCCCGGGCGCTGGAGTCGCGCGCGTTGGGGGGCCGCCCATTCCATCATCGGCGCTCCCCACATCCACCCTGGCGGTCGATCTCGGCTCGAGGGCATCCACGCGGAAACCCGACATCCTAGTCAGCGCACCTTGCAGAACAGCACAGGACAATGAACGCCGACGTGGGATTGACCACCCCCGAGCAGGCCACCCGCGAGATCATCGACCAACCAGTGCAAGTGCTGTCCAGGCCGTGGGTGACACTATTTCCCCTACGCATCCCATCCCGCTCAATTCCTCCTCGGGCCCGTGGGGCCACCCTCCGAACACGCGAGTGGCGACGGGCCCGCCAACCAGCTGGCGCCCAAGCGGCCCGAAAAAAACATGGCAGTGAACCACTAGGAAAAGACGACCCTCGTAATCACCAGGCGTGAGCGGGCCCGCCCAGTTGAGGCCAGGGGCACTGTTGCTCTCTTTGGGGGGGGGGGGGGGGGGGGAATTCTCTGGCACGTCGGAGGGGCGGGAGGCAGAAGGAGGAGGGACGGGGGGGAAGAGGAGCAGAAGGCGGATAAGGATTAGGAAAAGGGGAGGGGGAAGAGGAGAAGGAGGAAGGCGAGGAGGATGGGGATGGCGAGACGGAGAGGACGAGGACGAGGGCAAGTGGGAGGAGGAGGTGGCTAACATGAGAGCGCGTGGCTGCTGAACAGGAGCGATGAAGGGGGACAGAAAAAGGGGACAAACATGCACGAAATCCGGAGGACGGTGATTTGGCGATGCACGCGCGAGAGACGTTCGAAGGATTCGCCCCCCTTCAGGTCTGAGCACGGCCTCAGCTAGCTCGAGCACTGACCCCGGTCACGCCCCTCCGCCGACGGAGGACCTCCAGGGAACCCCCTGGGTGAACACCGAGCTCGAAGAGGAGCTGGAGCATTTCTTTGACTGACGTCCGCTCTAACCCAGCCGAGTTGAGATTCCGAGTTATGTCACTGCGCGAGAGGTTGATCCCAACGTACCGACATATACATGCACGAGTGCACTCACTCGCGCGCCTGCCACGCAGCACGCGCGCGCGGGCGAGGTCGAGCACTGGGGTCCCCTCCAAAGGCTTACGCCGCCCCGCCGTGCTCGTATTGGGTTTTCCCGACTGCTGCCTCTTCGGCGGGGCCCCTCATCAGCGGTGTTTTTTCTTCTCGGGCCCCCATGGGGTTCCATCCTCGGGCTCCCTCCCGCCCTCCTTGGGGCCCCCCAGACGACCCCGGTGCAAATCGTTGCTTGGCGCGCAGGAGAGAGGAGAGTAGTGCTTATACGGAGATAGAATTCACGGATGCCCCCAAGACCACCCCGCCCCCCTCAGAAAGGCCCCAGAATCCCTTCAAAGATGCCACCAGGAAGCCCTACTCGCGAAACAACTACACTACAAAACGTATATAGACGCTGAGACGGTGGTTAACGCTGATGCAGCGCTGACGTTAACTAGCGCTGCTGTTAGAATTGCTCCGAATATATAACGTTTGGCGTCAACGTTAACTTATTATCATGCCTTCGCGCTTTGCGCGGGCGGGCTGCAATTATTTTCGCGCTATGAACATAATAATGACCTTGAACGGTGCACTTTGTGAGCGCGCCATACATACCGTGACCATGTATGGTCGCCGATGATCGCCGTGACCATGAATGGTCGCCGCCAACATGGCGACCATTTTATGGTCTCCCAGGACCTCTGGGTGGTGGCGCCCCACTGCCGTGGCGATGGTTTCTTCCTGAGCCGCCGTGGCCGCCTTGGCCGCCATCCTGCGCAGTGTCTCGCCGCAGGCAAGCGGCCGCGCACCGCCCCCAGGCTTCAGCAGCGGCAGCAGCCGCCCGGCGAGGAGAGCCTGTTTCGCATGCGCCGGCGCCCGGCCCTCGAGGGTGAGGACGAGGACCTGTGCGAGCGCCTGAGCCCCCTCTTCGTGCCCGCGCAGGGCCGCCCAGTGCTCGAAGCGGGCGCCAGACAGGCGCGGGCCCGAGTGGCGAGGGTACTTCCCGAGGCTGCCTGCCACCGCCTCGGCGGCCTCAGCCTCCCAGGGCGCCGGGGGGCGCGCCGGGGGCGGCGGCGGCGCGCGGGCCCCAGCGGTCGCCTCCGGGAAGAGGGCGGCCAGGTCGCGGGCCACTTCGGGCCCGCACGCCAGCTTTTCAGGCCCGGCGGCCGCCGCGGCCGCGCGGCCCACCTCCCCGAGCGCGATGAGCTCGTGCACCCGTCGAGCCACCTCCTCCGGCTTACGATGCCCCGGGCGGTCTTCTTCTGGTTCTCCGGGTCGTGCGGTCGCGGCCCACAGCGCCGCCCAGTCCCCCGCCCAAGCCTGGCGCAGGCGGCGCGGCAGCACCTTCGAGGCCGACGGCCGCTCGTCACTGCCGCTGGCTGGGGGCACCGCGAACAGAAGCTTCGGGAGCAGGAGCAGCTGGGCCCGCGCTGCCTCGCACATGGGGCGCGCCGCGACGGCGCGCAACGCCGCGGCGAGCACGTCCGCGACCACTGCGACGAGGGTCGGGGGCGCCGCCGTCCACGTGGGCACGGGCTCCCGCAAGGCACCGTTCAAGTCGAAGCCAGCCCACCACTCCAGCCTCGGGAGCTCGCCCGCTTCCGCCGCCAGCACGTGCCGCGGGTGGACGTCGTTGGCGGGCGCGTCGTCTTCCTCGCGCGGGACCGCCCCTGGCAGAGGCGCAGTGCAAGCGAAGATCTCCACGCGAGCCTCCTCTGGCAGCGCCGCCAAGCCCTCCACCGAGCCCAGGGGCACGCCGCCCGCGATGCAAGTCGGGTGGCGGAAGTGCCGGTCTGGGTTCGCCCTGCTCGCAAGGCGCACTGCCCCTGGCTCGAAACCCGAGCAACACGCGCAGCATGCCGCCACGTGCTTCCGAGGGGCCTGGCGGCTGGCCACCCAGGCGCGCACCCTGGGCGGGCGCCCTGCAGCAGCGGCGGGCGGCGCAGCAGCGGCGGCAGCAGGCGCGGCGCTGGCATCGCTTCCCGGGGCAGCAGCGGCGCCAAGTGCACCGCCAAATTGGGCTGCCCCGAGAAGCGCGGCCGCGGCCGCTGCGCCCTCGTTCTGATCCCCGCCCCGCCCAGCAGCATCCAGCATCTCCACGTCCTCCTCCATGGCCCGGGGGTTGGGGAAGGAAGGCGAAGGGGGGGAGAGGTGAAGAGCGGGTGAAATGAAGTATGTCAGGGCCGCTCACGCCCACTCGCCTGACAATACTTGAGCCTCCTTCTCCTCCTCTTCCTCCTCGTCCTCCTCCTCCTCCTCCTCCTCCTCCTCCTCCTCCTCCTCCTCCTCCTCCTCCCCCCCCCCTTGCTCCTCCTCCCCCTTCTTCCCGTGCTCCCCCTGCTCCTATGCTTTCACGCCTTGCGTGTCCCCACCAGCCCGCTCAGAAGCCCTGCCCACGGGAGCGGGCGGGAAAAAAGGGGCACACAGACACACACACACACACACACACACACACACACACACACACACACACACACACACACGTAGTGAAACAGAGTCTGCCGCATCAACGGAGAATACAACGGAGAATAGGGACGATGAGGAGGAGGAGGAGGAGGAGGAGAAGGAAAAGAAGGAGGAGGAAGAGG